AATAAACCAAAACCCCTGCTCTCATTATCACAGACCTTTGTTCAAAGAAAATGTAGCTCTTCCTATATTCATTATTCATTATTTACCTGCTTCTATAGTGATCAATATTGAAACTCTCTATTTTACATTTCACTTTGGTATATACATCCTGGACATCTATGGAGGCACTGAGATCTTCTAGTTCACTGACCATACAAACTTCTGCAATAAGAAGCAAACATTAATATAAATACAGTCCTAAAAATCAATATTAAAACTTTGTGTTTTACATTTCACATTGGCATATACACTCTAGACATGTATAGAGGCACTCCGACCACACAGCCTTCTAGAATAATAAGCAAAATTAATATCAATACATTAACAGGCTTTACGATTAAGATAAGGAATCTATTTCAAGATAGGGGTAATCCCAGTTCAAGTCTGAAGTGCTATATCCAATACCAGTCAAGGATCTTTGCAATACTTTTATAGTGACAATGATATAATATATCAATATGATCAATCTGGAAATTTTCTCATGGTCTTTGGGATGAATTTTAATATAAACAAGACAAAATTTAGTTATTACAAAGTCAAAGAGAATATGTACACATGAAGACATAAATTTTAAATATTGACAAGATTCAACATTTTAGCATTGCCAATAGAAATCATTTGGATTAGACCTAATGATATTAATTGAATTATAAATGAAAATAAATAAAATTAAGTCTCATATTTCTTCTAAAAATAGTAGTTAATGTTTGGTTTTTCAGAAAAGAAGAGAAGTAATGCTGTACCTGTGCCTTTATTTTCAGGATCTGGAGCAAAGAGCTTTATAGTAATTTTGGGGAGCACCCACTGCATCCATAGACTAACACGTCCACTGGAGCCGCCAATATTACTTGTAGTTTGTTCCAAGGTAACAGAATCTGAGAATGGTGAGTCATCACCTGCTTGTATAGAATCTCCCTGGGGTGATGAGGAAAAAACACACACAAAAAATAAATGAATACAATTTATAGTTTAAAATCAGCAATTATTATTTGTAACTTTTTAATATCGTATATGCTAATGATAATCATACAAATACTAATACTAATACAAAATGTAATCATATAAACATATACCACTCAGTTTTTATAGTTAAAATGTACATCCATGTCATTCCGGTTTCCTCTAAAAGTCATATATAATCCAGAACAATTCAGGATTATACCAATGAGTATTTCCTTGTAGAGTAGGGTCTGCAAGCTATAGTGACTGGCTTAAATCCAGCTGTTCTGAGGAATAATGTTTTACTAGTATAGATCATAGCCACATCCATTTATTTAATTATTGTTTATGGCTGCTTTTCAGCAGGGTTAAATAGTTGCTACACAGATGCTATGGTCCACAGAGTCTAAACGTATTTACTATCTAGGCCTTTACAGAAAAAAAATTGTCTATCCCTGCTATAGAACATTTATAAATGAATCTAGAATAGCATAGCAAAGTGATCAGCACAGTTTAAGAACTAGCAAAACATTCGTCATACCTTGCCTATGATAGTATAAGGAGACATTAAAAATTAGCAGATTTGACAACAGGTTTTTAAAATGTTCTATATGGTTAAAAGTCTCTTAGAGGAATAGAGCATGGGCTTATTCAATTCAACAAATACATACTGAACTCTAGATAGGTATAAGGCCTTAAATTCAGTGCTACCAAACTTGCTGTGAAAGATTTGTTGGTTTTTGGTCTTTTCAGCAGCTTTTAGTAGCCCAGAGTAAAATAAACTCTTTTATTTGAAGGATTTGAATAGTTTTAGTTTCAAATGCAGAAGAGATGGTGCTAAAGATAGTAATCACCCACTGATATGTTTAGTTCTTTTAAGATTAGCTACCAAGTATTTGGGCTTTTAAAATCCCAAACTGCTGTCCATTTAAAACTTGCAAACAAAACTTACGGAGCCTAAACCCATATATTCTAAGAACTGATCAAATACAATACAACATGCTTATTTGTTTAAAAGATGTATTTAAATATCAGTTATATATACTTAAGCTTAGTATGTATGGCAGGCAGTATGATGTATTAGGTTAAGACTTCAGATGCTTGTCAGGTGATTTTAGGCAAGTAGTTTAACTTTTCAGAGTATGTTTGCTCCTCTGTAAAATGGTTAGTATAATGATATTTATCTCTTAGAGCTGTTAAGATTAAATAAGAACATGAATGTGAATGAAGTATTTACACATAGCAAACATTTCATAAATGGTAGGTATAATCATCACCATCAAGTTGAACCAATGTTTAAGAAATTTATATTCTTCTAGAATTTGGTATCCCTCTTGACTTTCTAATTTTGTCATCTTTCTTACTTCAGACACATTTTCATTTGCTGTACATCCTCAACCTCTAATACAAAGGAGGTTTGATTTGATTTGAAATGATCATTGAATTCATTGTTGATTTGAATGTCTCAAACAAAATGTTCATTTCCTATGCTAAGGAGTCATGACCAGTAGTCAACAGTCAAAAAAAAAAATCCCTTAAAATTTAAGCGAAGGCAATAGAACATGTCAATATGCCATTTTCTATGTATAGTTTGTCAGAGCAGAAGCTGCTAATCTCTAAGTCAAGCCATTAGCCTTACACTTAAGAGCAGGAAAGATAAGTAAAACCCCAACAAAATAAACCAAAACCCCTGCTCTCATTATCACAGACAGGCAATCTAGACAAAGGTATATTCAGTTCCCACATGAAGCTTTTACCTTGACCTCAGTGTTTTATCATCTTTCAATCAGAAGAAAATTCAATATTCCTGAAACCCCAGAAGGAGACCAAATGGGGAATATATTCATAGAACAACTGGCAAGTGTTTATTATAGGAACATTTAGCCACCAAGCAGAGCAAAGCAACAGTGTCTTGGGATTTACTCTGACAGAAAATTACAGAGTTAAATCTGAAGACAGTATAGTCACTCTTTGTCCCAATTACACCAAGCAAAGCAAACAGCTCACTGTGGATTTTCAGATAAATGCTTCTCCAAAATAAGTAGTTCTAAATTTATACAATTGAAATTCCTAGAACTTGAGAAGCTATTTTAAAAAAATCAGGTTTTTGGTTAGCTGTGTAATATAACACAGCTAACCTAATGAAAAGCTAATCTAATGAAAAGGACGTTCCAGAAAAAGATGCTTTTTACAAAGTAAAATTAAATAAAAGACAACATAATGTGGCCAGTATGCCTTTCTTTATGGATAGGTTTTTAGAGCAGAAGTATGCTTAAATTAAATCTTTTTCTAATAGTTAGAAGAATGTCATATGCCAAGAATGGAAAACTTCAGAGAAAACAGCATCTCAAATCAACAAGACCTCAATTTTTAACACTACTGGGTAAGAATGATAAGAAAACTATGGCTTCAAATTGAGTAAGCACTCCTGAGAAAAAGCTTTACTTTACTTCCTCTTGCAGTTTTAATTTTCATTTTGGATTCACAACATTTGTTGTGTACTGTTAAACATGTTTGTGCATTAATTTTCTGCTGTTTCCAAATCTATAGTGAAAATCAGGCCAGAAACGGAGATGCGGAACTATTTTCCCATACTTCCTTAGAACAAATTTTAAACAGTTCAACTGTTTTACCATTTTGTTGCAAACTGACCAAAATACTGAGTTTGTTTTCCTGGGTGAATTAATCTTTGTCTATCTGCAAGAGCAAACACTTCAACTCTTAATCCTTGGCCTGCTTTAGAGCTTAGGGATGATCATAGTTTTGGCCACATTGCTTTTCTCTCTTATCAAAATAACTCCAGCATTCTCCTTCAGTCACAAAACTTCCCAAAGGGCTAAACACTTCCACCACTGTTTATATTTAAGTCAATAGTAACAAGTGGCCTGCTGTGGTCTCCACTACCTTTGTTCTCACTATTTCAATGCAAGCGTGGAAAAAAATGATTAAGCGTTTTTAAGCTCAGTACTTAAGCATCGAACTCATATTTCCTACTCTACCATGACCCAGACTGAAGTACAGGAAGCTAGAGCTATATTTGCACAAAAGGACAGTGCTCCCTCTCAACATGTCAGCATGAAAAGAATTACTCATAGTTTAAAGTATAAATCATCTACGGATCATATAAACAAATACTTCTGTTTAATACTAACAATTGTTAGAATGTGATTTCTTAAACTAGATTCATTTATAGTAGTTTTCTATATTCAAAAGTCTTATAATACTAGTTTTGACCCAACTAAGCAACAAAAATGATCTTTTAAAAAGTAAAATGTTTAAAAAACTTTATAAAGTTTATTTGAATACAAATTTTAATTTTAAAAAATTAAAACTACAATTTCAAATTTGTCCCCAGATACATAATTGATATAAATAAGCACAACAAATGTAAGGCAACCTCAGATTATTAGGTTATATCTATACAATAAAACTACCTAAATTAAAAAAATAAAATTGAGTAGCCAAGACTTGAGAGACATTTTCTGATATGATTATTTTGGAATATGAAAAGCATTATATATAAAATATTTCATTGAATGGTAAGTGATGGCTAAACAATGACCTTCATTTTTCTAATCTGCTTTAGTACATTATTTTTGTTTTTGTCCACAGCTATTCAAAATAGTAAGATGATAAACTAAATGCTACAATTTCCACATTTTGAATAAAGTTTCTCTCTAAATGCTAAGGATAAAACCATTTAAAGAAAATATTAAATGAAATAAACATTTTCAGGAGAAGCTTTAAAACAATTATGAGATTTTTAAAACAGCAATGGAATAAAATGTTCAAACTAAGTAATTAAAGAGTTGTTTGAATAATAATTTGAGATAGATTGCTGCTGAGATTAACTATACTTGAATAATTGAAAAATTGACAACAGTGTAACTACAGAAGTTGATGCCAAACAACTTCTCAGTCCAATATTCATTTTTTATTTAAAGCTTTGCGAGACTTTATTATTCCACACCTAGTATGGCACTGAAACAATATAATCAATATTTGACACCTTTCCTTCTGAGCCAATGGTAGCTTCCCAATCTGAATCATCTACTTATAATCTGTCATGTTTCACTTAACACTTATTTCATATAAAAAAAGACAGCATAAAAAGTACAATTTGGAAATAGAAAAGGCAACAAAGGGATAATTTCTCAATATGTCTTGTGTTGTTTGTACAGAATTTAATTAGAGCCAAAATAAAGTTAGAGATTTCCCTTCACAATAAAGCAAATTATCAAAAAATTATATTAAACTTTAAAATATTGTCTAATATTTTAAAACTAAATCGGAAAATTTATTTAACATAGTATTGGATGTCCCAGCCAGAGCAAATAGGCAACAAAAAGAAATAAATTGGAAACGAAGAAGCAAAATTACCTCTTTTCACAGAAGACATCATCTTTTATGTAAAAAACTCTAAAGATTCCACCAAAAAAACTTTTAGCATAAATGGATTCAGCAAAGTTGCAGGATATAAAACCAACACACACAAATCAGTCAGTTATGTTTCTATGCACTAGCAGTCAACAATAAGAAAAGAAAATAAATAATTTCATTTACAATAGCATGTAAAAGAATAAAATACTTAGGAATAATCCAAACCAAGGAAGTGAAGGACTTGTACAACGAAAACTACGAAACATTGCTAAAAGAAATTAAAGATGACACAAATAATTGGAAAGACACCCAGTGTTCATACATTGGAAGATTTACTATTAAGGTGGTGAGTTACTGTTTAATGGACACAGTTTCAGTTGGGGAAAATGAAAAAGTTCTGGAGATAGATGGTTGTGACAGCTGTGCAACAATGTAAATGTACTTAATGCTACAGAATTTTATACTTAAGATAAAAAAGGTAACTTTAATATAAAATCATATTTGTACAGCAACAAAAATACATTACATGTGTTTAGCATCTATAAGAGTTATGCTCATTAGTTTTATTTGACATAAGTTGGGCCACTGGAGTGGAT